GGCCCAAAAAGAAAAAGATCTTACGTTACAATGTATAGATATAGCGGGTATGAATTGTCGGTATAGCGTGATCATATAGAGAAAGCTGCAGCAAGTCAGTTGGCCCGTGGCCACAGTAGCAATAATCAAATCCATTCGGGCTAATTGATTCGAAAATTATCACATAAGGGAACAAACGAAATTAAAACGCCTTCACTGATTCGAGAAAATCCTCGAAGAATATGAAGACTGACAACCTGTAAATTCACGATACACATCGTTATTTGCATATATCATGTGAAGGAATTCAAAACACGAATTTCCGTAAAGATTAAATTGACAAATGTTTGTAAAAGTTAATTCGATGAATTTCTTTGTCAGTAAAGTAATTATACAGATTTTTTAATAAGAATAACATTTTATAATGATTTTCTATACCCTTTCTAACTTTGCAGAAAAAACCAAAGGGAGTCTGAGTTTTACATTTAAAAATCCTTTCGAACGACCGTATATCTAGTTATACTGAACATAATGAGTATTACAGCTTCCTCATTGTATTTCATCGATTTCCTCCCATTTTACGAATACAGTCGTCCTACACCATATTTCAAGGAAGCGACTCTGTCTAATCCGATGTAAATAGATCTCCAGATTTAAAAGTGTGTCACAATGTAAATCACAGCTACTGCCGCTATGGCCAGACGGTTAAGGAATCCCCTGGAGAATTCACATTACGCATTCCTTACAAATTCCGTGCATGCATTCATGTCAGCTGGCTGGAAAACCCTAGCGCGAATCTGTATATTATCTTTTTTAAAGAAATATTTCACAGGCTACTGTTACTATATTGGCTGTCAGAATTATATAATACAACCCGCTACTGTTTACTAATAATAGGTGCTACTGTACTTTATCAGCTGCCACCGCTGTTAACACATCATTTAAAAAGTCTCTGGTCTAACTAAGAAAAACAAATTGTTTTTTAGAAATTCGACTTTATTCATCAACATACTCTCCTTCAATAGTGATACATTCATTCCAACGCTCCTCTAACTTTTCGATGCCTTTTTTGTAGAATGATTTGTGTTTTCTCTCAAAATAGGCCTCAGTTTCGGGAATTACTTCCTTATTTGAGCCAAATTTCTTTCCCTGGAGCATCTTTTTGAGGTCTGCAAAAAGCTAGTAGTCGCTGGGGGCCAGATTTGCAGAGTACAGTGGGTAGAGAAGCAATTCGAAGCGTAATTCATTCATTTTAACCATCGTCGACAAGTTGTTGTTTTTGGTCCAGTGTAAGCAAACACGACATGCACTTCCAAAGCAAAGACAAATCGTTCTACAAAAAAGGCATCGAAAAATTAGAGGAGCGTTGGAATGAATGTATTACTATTGAAGGAGAGTATGTTGATGAATAAAGTCGAATTTCTAAAAAGCAATTTGTTTTTCTTAGTTAGACCAGAGACTTATTAAGTGATGTGTTACTATAGTAACTATTATAGTGGCTGCTATCATTATGCAGACTGCTAGTATTATACACAATATTATTACAATACAAAATATCACTAGAATAGCCTGCATAAATCTGTTATAACTACAGTCCCTTTAAAGGTAAAACTTTTTTACACGACTGTACTATTTTGTTGCTCTAACAGTAAGAATGTAGATTCGGCAGCCTGATAGAGAAACAAAATTACCTTATTACACGCATACCTACATATTCCATAATATCAGTAATGTACATAGAAAACTCTTTGTAGACTGTACTACATTTTTTCAATTTAATACAGATGTGTATTTTCCACTTGAAATATAATACCAATGTCTATACAATAGCAATGAAAATCGCAGAGCAGAGTGGTTTTAAGCAAAATAAATAAACGTTCCATCAATGCGCGGCTAGTCGTTCTAGCATAAATTGTATAAGCAATGACAAGATTACTAGACAGAGGAAATTGTAACTTCAGATATAGTATTCATTTTCCAATATGTACCTGATGGAGAGACGATCCAAGTTTGATTTAGGTGATGAATAGCTAGTTCAACTAGAATATTCCCAGAGTAGAAAGGTTAGTGCAGCTAGCAGAAGATATTATTTATCAACTCTTAAATACACGTCCAAGACAAACCACATCCTCATATATGAAGTCTGCGTTGCATATAGTCCAAGAGTTGGTACGTATCTTTTGCAATATATTGTTTTCTTATCAGAGAGCAAATCAGTCCTGGTAATTTTGTTTCATATCAAATTGATTTATTTCTACTAAGGTTTACACTGTGAATTCACTCACTTCTGACTCTCACTAACCGGATCGTACGGTATACTGAATCAATGTTATTTTGTAAAGCGTACCCGAGACAGTTCCGTAAACAGGCTGAAATATTATTGCCGGTATGTAATTATGGTTTAATAAATAGATATTGGACAAATATTTTCCTGTCGCATTCATTTCGCTCGTGACAATGCATCCACGCTCCCCGACTACCGGAATCACTTCCGATTCCGGTTGTTGTAACTTCACTTCCGGTTTTCTGGGTGCGCCCATGAAACACTAGTGCTTCCATGTTATAGCTTTTCTATAATAGAGTTCAACGTGGCGAATTGTATCATATTGTTATATTGTAGTTCTTTAAACGATCTTGAATAAATACTAAAATTGTTTAAGTCCTTATAACCCGTAGGAAAATTTCTCATTGCCAATGGCTTTTATTAAACCATTTTATTAAGGTAAGCTAGGGTAGGGTAAGGTAAGGTAAGGTAAGGTAAGCTTTTATAAAAGTGTGCTAAATTAATAAAAATTGATGAAAAATCACATATACAGACTGTGTCAGCTAAGATGTATGTTTCAGATTTGCGGTGAAACGGTGCACAATTTCGAAGATTTGATGCCACGACAACCTAACTAGCTGTAGATTTTAAACATCATATTTCTCGCTTTAGATTTTGAAATCTTCGTTTTCCAAAATCTACTTCCAAGAGTACGAAGACCCCAAAATCTGCGGCGAAGAGCAAGAAGAGTTGAAAATCCACAACCAGGAAGACGAAGACTCCAAAATCTACATCTAGGATCACAGAAATCTACAGCAGGAATACATCGGCTTCTAACTTGTAATAAAAAATAGCATTGTAATATGTTTAAGCAACCTTGTACGGGTTTGCGTCTGACTGAACGGTTACCTCAAAACAATTGCGAATCGTGAGTTCGGCGTGTTTTTGTGACGAATTTGTCAAAAAATGATAAAATTTCGAACGCAAATATCTTCCTTATTATGTGTGCAGTCCGTCCGAATTTTGTTTGCATCTCTATTACCTTTTCTTGCTCTACAACTTTTGCATTTAACTTTTTTAAATATCATTTGAAATGGCGAAGATAATTTTTTTTATTTGCGACCGGAAGTTAAGTGAACAATAATAATATGCCCATTCGATCTGCAATCAAAAAATATTCAATGATCATGACACTAGATTGTAGAAAATATGCACCGTTTTACCCAAAATCTCAAACGTGCATCTTAGCTGATACACTCTGTAGATATATGCTTTATATTGTGCATTTGTTACGTATATCGACCTTCATTCTGAAACACAAGAAATAACGTAGCCGACAGGGAGGAGGATGAGGAGGAGGACGAGGAGGAGGAGGACGAGGAGGACGAGGAGGAGGAGGAGGAGGACGAGGACGAGGAG